AGACGACGTTTCTTAATTTTTCATGAAAAACGTCACTTTTTGACCGCTTGTATCTCCGGAACGGCTTGACCGATTTTATTTTTTCTTGGCTCAAATTACTCGTGGCGATGCCGCCTTTCAGGTTATATTACGTGCATTTCAAAATTTTTTATATTTTAGTAGTTCTACACCCCCAAAAAATGGACTTTGATGGTGCAGGATAAGGAGACTTGTAGTGTCTTTTAAGGTCTTTTAGAGTTTGAATTAAGGTCTTTTAGGGTTTGAACATGGCCGGAGACACTACCGCGTCTCCTAATATTTATATATATAATAAAATAATTAAAAGGATTATAACTTATAAAGCGAGCGAAAAATGCTCGGGATAAGGTCAGTTGCCCGAAGTGCTGATACAGCCAGTATCACACGGCCAAGTCATCAAATAGAGAAAGAAATCACTCTCGAAATAGCGCTGAATTGCAATAAAATGCGAGGAAGGAGTCTTTGGACTTCCTTCGCTTGCATTTGATCACGCCACTTTAAAAATAACTGATGATTTTATTCCACCGCGTCATATATATGATCTATTTTTCATGAAACTCGGAAAACATAACAAATTATTATACGCATTAAATAATAAAATATTTTTGTTGCTAATAAGTATTTTTTTGCTAATATTTATAAAACAAATATACATAATGTTAATAATTTTTTTAGATAATGTTTAATCCAAGAAATGTAGCAGTACTGCTATACACTGCACTGTATATGACTGGGGAATTCCCAGAAAGTCCTGTTACAACAGATGAAAATGAAACAAAAGACATGATGGAAAATACACTTCGATCAATGTATGAAGAAGCGTTTGAAGTTTATGAAGAATCATCATTAGATTTTCAAAACGAATTTGATATACCTAAAGTAGAACCTGTAATTGATGAAGAAAGAGAAGGTGACACATATTTGTAAAAGAAATTGAATGTGTTGCGGATTCTGTACCAATAGAATATAAAAGAAATGCAGTAGAGTTTTGGAGAAGTGGAACAAAAAAGTCAAGAACTCTTGCAACTATAAGAAATAGATTTCGGAAAGTCACGTCATTACGTCAATTAAGAAGATGGGAGCAGCAAGTAAATCAAGGTGGCAGCAGATTTGATAAACTGAAAGAAATTTCAACATATACGTTAAATAAATTCCCCATGAAGGTATTGAAAAGGGAATAATTATTCATGACATTGATATTGCTCGATGGGCTATTCGCGCACAGAAGGAAGTAAATCTACTTGGGTTTACAGCATCATTATCATGGGTAAAAAGGTTTAAGCTTGCACATAATATCGTATCTAGAAAAATTACAAAATTTTAACAAAAAAACATTTAGCGTCAGACAAAGATTTAGAAGCACGAAGCAAGTCATTTATCGAAAATGTTAAATCTTTTATTATACAATATGGAATTGAAAATGTATATATTTCGGACCAAAGTGGATTTCAATTAGAATTTCATTCCGGTCGTTCACTATCACCTATTGGTATTAAAAAAGTAGAGCGCATAGTACAATCCATATCAGCAACTACACATAGTTATACTATACAACCTATTGTTTCAGCTGATGGTAGATTATTATCGCCTCTGTTTATATTGTTTTAAAAGAACCTACTGGAACATTTGGTCCAATAGTAAAAGAAACAATGTTTAAAGATAATAATATCTTTGTCATGGCATCAAAATCTGGAAAATTAACATCGCATCATTTTGAGATCTGGATAAAAGAAGTGTTTTTTCCAAATGTTGGACCAAAATCAGTGTTATTATTAGATTCTTGGACTGGTCATTGTCCTGATATAATTCAAAGAAACAAACCAGATTTTATAGACAATATTAATTTGTTAACTATACCAGCTGGAGCAACGGGAAAAATACAACCTTTAGATGTATTCGGTTTTCGTTTATGGAAAAATTTTGTTAGACATTTTTCAGATACCATCATGCTTTTAGATCTTGACGTCAAGCTTCATTCAAGAAACAATATTTTAAAATTACAATCATTAACACATAATCAATTTTCATCACCAAGGTTTAAAAATTTATTCAAATATGCATGGTATAAAAGTGGTTATTTAGAAAAGAAACCAGAAGAATTTGATACACCAGTAGATTTTTGTTTCAAAACTAATTTAAAACCAACATGTGATATTTGCGGTGAAATTGCTGTAATTTCTTGCGCATGGTGTAAAAAATCCCTTTGTATAAATCATTTCTTTCATGATCATCATCTTTGTAACCGATATCAACCATGAATATTTTTTATTCTTGTATGCAATAATTATGTACGGTATTTTATGTAATATTTCCATATACCATACATATATATAATGACTTAATAATGTAAGACAATGTGTATTACATTTACTTTATACTTTAAGAAATTAAATATTATAAAACAGAATATTTTGATTAGTAAAATACTCTATTTTTTTCAAGTATGTAATGTATGTTGTATATGAGCAAGGATGTTATCTGCAAAAATGTATAAATTAAAATATAGTAACATATAAATATGTTTTATTTATAAAACTTTTAACAAAAAAATGTATATTTGCATAAAAACGTTCTTTATCATTTAAAATTTGTTTACTTTATTATAAAAAACGACTATTTTTCTTAAAATTCAAGTTTATTCATAGAATTGGATCTATTAACCTCGACATCTGATCAATAATTTTCCTTGTCCGACTAGTTTTATTTTTCATGCATTAAAAACATTTCTTTTCCATATAAATTATATGTATATTTATTGTCACATAATATATATATTATAATTATATATATTATATAATTATAAATTATATTTATAAATATAATTTCTATAATTTATAAAAATATATTCTCATAAATTATTTAATGCTAATTTATGGTTGCCTCTGTGAGTTTGCGAAGAAAAATAACTGTCGCTGTGAATAACGAGCGTCATGAGGCGGATAAAGCGGGCGTATAGTAGTGTATAGGGATATTTTTAATTTATTTCTGAAAAATGCGACTTCGGAATACAACTTTATTATATATGATTGAATTTGTCGTTAAATGAGCTATAAGTTTTGTTATAAGACAAATTTAAAAATTTTCAAACATTGAAAGGGAGGGGGGGAGATTTCGAAAAATATGACATTTTCGACAAATCTGATTACATGATTTTGAAGTACATTAAAAACCATAAAACTTTTATTTGAAACTTTTCTTTATATCTCTTATCGCTTCGACGGTATTTGCTGAGAAATGAAAAAATCGATTTTTTTCAAGAAGGTGTTTCACCCCCTTAACGGCCAAATTAGCACTTATAAAAAAATACGTGTCTTCTATTTTGATCTAGACTACAACATATTCAAAGCTCATTAAAATCGGAGGGGGACACTTCCGACCCTTTCCTTGTAAGTATTTTTGAACGGTTTGAAATGTCAAAGAGAGTTCGGAGAAGAAAACATACAATGTTTGTTTATAGAACATTTATTAACACATAAATTGCTCGAAATTTTGACCATAATGTTCAATACAATATTCAACGCGTTTTATAATATTCCTCATTGTTGACTGCAGCATTTCTGCTGTAATGCCTTTAACAGCTCTAGTGATTTTGTGTCGTAACTCTTCTTCATTTTCAGGAAAAATATTATTAATGCATAAAAAATCAATAATTAAATAAAAATCAAAATACAAAATACTTGCGTAATTCTCACGTCTGTATATTCCAACACACTGCAGAACTTTTTTTTTCATCGACCGCAGAACTTTTAGGCTACGATTAATTCTTTGACATCTGTCATCAATTAACCCCACTTAACTGTCACCAAACTTTCAGTGATTACTTTCACAGTTCTCTCTCTCACGACATCATCGACCACCAATCACGTATGCGGAAAAGGGTCAACAATACAAGCGATACATATCGACTCGAAACGCAAACTTCTCAAATATATATGACATTTTTCATTAGGGACTCTGAAATATTTAGTAAAACATCATTTTCTGATGACCTTACTTCAATAATTTTATTGACAATATAATGAGAGGAACAAGGTGCTATAAAAAGGGTAACACATTTAATCGTTTTGAAGATAATAGAGCTATTATTATTATATATATATATATATATATATAATTTACTCATTAGATTTATAAATAGACATATATCAATTTAATGATATGTAATGAATTGCAAAATTGCTTCTTACGTTTGCGTATACATTTCTACATATACAGGGTGTTTTGAATTGGCGGAAAAGTTTTTAATGGCAGATTTCTGGTATCAGTCGAAAACGATTTTTCCTCAGCGAAAATGTTGAGACATCAATAATTTTCGAATTGTAAGCAGTTGAAAATGAAGGCTTTTTGGAAACTAAGCCTTGTGGAAATAAAATGCTAACAGAACTACATCTTTCAGTTAATTTTAAGTAGAGTTTACTTTAATAGATTTTAATATGAAGCTTAGTTATAAAAATATATAATAGCGAAAATTAGCAACATGCTATAAATGATGGTCTTTTTTAACATTTTCTCTAACGAAAAATCGTCTCCAAATGACCAGAAATCTAACATTAAAAACTTTTCCGCCAGTTTTGAAACACCTATATATACATAACTTGTATACACAAGATGTACAACAAATACTGAAATCCCTTAATTTGACCAAAACCACGCTACTAGTTTAAAAAAAATGTTTTATACGAATGTTGAAAGACATTGCGTTGACGTTGAAAGACTATGTATGCGTGCGTGCATACGTGCGTGCGAGCGTGCATGCGTGCCTGCGAGTAGATTTTTCATATATTATATAAAGACATAATATGTATATAATTCACTATATATACATGTATCAAAAATCTATATATTGCTAAAATTATAATAATATAATACAAAAGGAGTGGAGAACTATATAGGGACCGATATTTTTGAATACTTAAAAACACTGAATTTAAATTATTTATTAATTAATTTATCATTTATTTATTTATTTATTTATCATTAATTTATTTATTTATTTAACATCTACATCATTAAAATGTATCTATTTTCATATCGTTGTTACATTGCTTTGATATTTTCCTTTTATGACCTTCAAAACTCTTTCGTACAAAAGTTTTGGCGCATTATTAGCAAATACAAAATCCACGTGATTAAAATTGGGCCACGGCACTTCGTACATATCTATTACGTTGGGAAGTAAATTGTAAACCCTCTTCACATCCTTGAAGAAACATTTTTTGAATTATCATACACAATAATTTTATTTAAGAGCTATATATTTCGATTATAAAAATACGAAATTTAATCTACATATATGTATACAAAGTCAAGTCACAATCTTTACTATAAAATCTTATAATTTCTACAATTTTTTTTATCAATAAATAAATACTCTTTTCATTACTTACAATAGGATCTAGCATCAAGTCATTGTTGCCATAGTATATCGCCATTGGTAGCGTGATACTCGATAGATTGTACTCTGGAGGTTCCATCGATTTATATATCAAGAGATTTTTTGTAGCACCGTAGTCATATTGACGAAATTTACCCGATTGAATTACTTGAACGAAGTGCACCACCGTCGTAAGCGAAACGGCAATGGGTACGTGACTCGCGATAAAGGGCAGCTGAGTCTAAATTTATATATATAAGGAATTAAAACATACACATATACTACATATATATGTATATATATATATATATATATATATATATATATATATACATATACACATGTACATACACATGTACATACACATGTACATACACATGTACATACATACATATATACAGGGTGTCTTTAAAGTCGACCCGGGCTTTTTATCTTGGAAATGGCCTTAAACACAAAAAATGTTTCAAACAAAAGTTGTGGGATTTTGAGGAGGACATAAGATCGATGCATTGATTTGACCTTGAATAGTCATTTGAAAGTCACGTGAAGGTCATCTTTAATTTTTTAAATAAAACTACCTATTTTTCATATATTCTTATAGGTTATTTCAAGAGCTTTCCAAAACACTATAACAAAACATTTTTTATTAAGTACTTTTTGATTTATAAAGGTTTGAAGTTAATAATCTTCTGACATAAAATATAAAATATCTTGTAAAATATTTAGTTTTTGGTAATCATACCTTAATACTGTTTTGCGGAATAATGAGACAAATCAATTGATTTAAAAAAACCCATAGTTGCTTATAAAAAAGTATACAGCTGCATATTGAGTATTACATTTTTTTTTTTTAACAATTATCTGTTTTTTTTTATACCAATTGATTAATCTCATTATACTGTGTAGAAAAGTATTAAGGTATCATTACCGAAAACTGAATATTTTACAAGATATTTTACATTTTATGTCAAAAAATTGTTAGCTTCAAACCTTTATAACTCAAAAAGTACTCTATGAAAAAATACTTTATTATAAGGTTTTAGAAAGCTCTTGAGATAGTTCACAAAATATGCAATAAAAAATATGTAGTTTTATTTAAGAAATTGAAGGTGACTATACGTAATCTTCAAATGACTATTCAAGGTCAAATCACATAATCGTATAATCTTATGTCACCCTCGAAGCCCTACAACTTATGTTTGAAACGGAATATATGAATACATATATATATATAGACGGGTGCCTCTAAAATTTGATCCGGGCTCTTTATCTTGGAAACTGCTTTAAATATAAAAAAGTTTCAGATATATATATATATATATATATATATATATATATATATTGTTACGTCCCTGGTTTACATCCCCTGAGCACCTTCATCCCTTTTCATCTCCTAGGAGGGTTGTTTATAGACAACCGGCGTTCAAATGTTTTGGGGCGTCATGATTAGATTTGGTTCAGCTGTCGCACCGAGCGGACGCTTACGAGACCGATGGGCATTTTGGCCTATTATATATTGTATTTTTTTGCTTTATTGTATTGGGTCGTTTCATTAAAACTCCTTTCCTCATTACGAGAATTTATTCATTCCGGACGCGAGTGAGAGTGTGAGTGACATCTTTTTGTGAGACAGCGCAAGAGACGTCGCGAGGACGTAACAATATATATATTTGAATATAATGATAATATATATATATGTATATATATATATATATATATATATATATAGGGTATATATATATATATAAATGATATATATATATAGGGTGCCTCTAAAATCTGATCCGAGCTCTTTATCTTGGAATTGTATGTACTCGTACATACAAGATCCGATTTTAAGTGCAATCGCACGATCCTGAAATGTAAGGATTATACTTCGATCGCGACATTTTACAGAAGATAGGTATGAAAAGAATTAATAAAAATCAGGCAGCGATATTATGCGCGACAAACTTGTTTGTATACTCTTCTTCATTTACGAGTTTATTATGTAAAGAAATACATACTTTAATTATTTTATATCTGATTTAATTTTCTTTCTATAGTTTTATTATAAAGAAAATTATTAAAACTATCAAAAAGTACTCTTTTATTTTTTATCTTAAAATTATACATTAATTATATACATACATTAGTAACAAAAATTATTGCAACACGTAATTAATATCAAAATTTGCGTAAATTCAAAAAGGCGCATCTCCGCGAAAAATTATCGTATTTAAAAAAAAATTTGTTTTTGTTTTAAAAGATGAAGTCTCTACTTTAAACAATATACTAATTAAATGCTCTTTAATTCAAATAAAGTATTGATAGCTTATATTTTGAATCTGAATTATTATATTGATAAGTATAGTGTATCGGTTTTATGTCACGAATGTTTAGTTTTTTCTGTAGTAAGAAATTAAATTTTTTATTGTATCTTTCATATTCTTTTAAAAAATGAGTATATAGCGGACCACTTTGTCTATTAAAAAATTCGTTGCAAACGTGAATCGGAATGTTATTATAAAGATCTATTGAGAGTCTATAAATTTGATTTTTTTATTTTTAATAACGTTATCTACCGCCAAACCTTTGAAACGCCCATGGGTTCTCTTCTCTCACCAGTGATTGCAGATCTAGTTTTACAAGATCTTGAGAATAAATCATTACGATTGTTAAAATTCACACCCCCGATTTACTTTAGATATGTTGACGACATTGTATTGACTGTTCCATTGACTTTAATTGACCACACACTTATGATTTTTAATTCTTATCATAATAGACTCCAATTCACTCTGGAAACTGACGATAATAATAAAATAAACTTTTTAGATTTGACATCAATTTTAGAAAACAACAAGATAATTACTGATTGGTATCACAAGCCGACATTCTCGGGGAGATATTTACATTTCTTGTCTCAGCATCCATTTTGTCAAAAGCGGGGAACTATATACGGTCTAGTAGATAGAACAATTTTATTGTCACATCCACGATTTCATTATACGAGTAAGAATCTCGTTACCGTTGTCAACATACTTTTAGAAAACTGTTATCCGCTTGACTTGATCTTTAATACTATTAACCAACGTCTAGTAATTTTATTCAAAAAATTAAAAAATACCACAATTAACGGTAACAATAATAATAATAATAATAGTGAAAAAACGTCTTTTTTCACTATACCATTTTTACCCGGTTTGACGGAACAATTTAGAAATATTATTAGGAACATGAATATTAAATTATCCTTCTTTAGTTTTAATAAATTAAATAAATATATACGAGTACATAAAGATACTATTTCTAAAATGAATAATACCAACGTTGTTTACAAAATTAATTGTTCAAACTGCGACGCTTCTTACGTGGGCCAGACTAGTAGAAGACTGACCACAAGAATTTCTGAACATAAGAAACACATAGTTAGAAATATTAATACTAAATCAGTAATAACGGACTACCGCGTTAATTTTAACCATAAATTTGATTGGGAGAACATTAATATTTTAGATAAAGAAATATATTACGGAAAAAGATCAGTATCAGAAATGATATACATAAAAAGACAAAATAATAGTCTCAATCTACAGACTGATACTGAAAATCTATCTGATATTTATATCGAAGATATAGAGAGACTACCTAAACTCTAAGGTTAAATAACAAATACAAAATGATTATAATTGTTTGTCACTTTTCATTTCCAACTGAGCTTCAGTTTCCTCTGAGCCGTTCTACTGACATGAGGATTACATTAGCGTCACTTTGTTACTGTTACAATTAAAATATTGTCACATCATAAATATATGTAAGTTTTTATTAGCATTTTTTTTTATACCATGTGTTAGATTATTGTTTTATAACGCACTTGATTTTGGATCTTATAATTAGTGAGGTGTAATGAGAAAATTATTTTAATTTATAGGATGCGATTAATATTTTATATTTTAACACCTGCCAACCTCGTAGTCAGAAAACTAGAAAGGATCGCTTCCCACAGTAACGTAAATGTGATGGCTCAGTGAGAGTCATATTAATGTTACTCTTACGACGTTTTATTTCGTTTACTGATGTAACCGCGTTTAAATATGTTTATTAGACGTTTATACGTTAAAAACATTTAGACTTTGGTGATTTTAATTTTGCTTTTTGTACTGCGCTGAAGAAGATCCGAAAAATTGGATCGAAACGTTCGCTGTCTCATTTGTTTTAACTTTCGAGTTTATTTTTATAATTTTAGATTAATTTAAACTTTATTGTTTATATCAGTACATATTGATTAAATGTAATAAATTAGTTTTTATAACCGTAATATTACTTCTGCTCTTATTAGCCTTTTATATGTGTAATTCTCTACTTAAAGAAACTTTTATTTGATTTTGCTTTTATTCTCTCCCCCTCTCTCCACTCTTTTAAAAAGTAAGGTTCATTTTTTTATCAAAAATATTGCAAAATTTGCCGGACTTTTTTCTACATATTAAAAATTAAACAAAGTTTGTACGATTTTTTTCGCGGAGTTACGGCATATCAAAGTTACCCATACATTTTTTCCATTTACTACCAGTATTAGCGATACCCGACGCGCACCAATGATGATTGCGCGACAAATTGCTAATGAAGATCTTCCTCACAGAATCAGTGATCAAACAATTAGAAGACGTTTACGTGAACGTCGTTTAAGATCGTGAGTTCGACAATTTCCTCTTCTAATGTATGAAAAAAATGTATAATCCATACATTTGGAAAGAAAAATGTTGAACTTGCGATCTTAAACCATGTTCACGTAAACGTCTTCTAATTGTTTGATCACTGATTCTGTGAGAAAGATCTTCCTTAGCAATTTGTCGCGCATTCATCATTGGTGTGCGTCGGGTATCGTTAATGCTGGTGGTAAATAGAAAAAATGTATGGGTAGCTTTGATATGCCGTAACTCCGCGAAAAAAATCGTACAAATTTTGTTTAATTTTTAATTTGTAGGAATAAGCCCACATTTTATGAAAATTTGGATAAGATTTCCGAAAAAAATTTATTTCATCCCGTAGAGTTCGGCAAATTTTGCAATATTTTTGATAAAAAAATAAACCTTACTTTTTAAAGAAGTGGAGAGAGGGGAAGAGGATAAAAGCAAAATCAAATAAAAGTTTTTTAAAGTAGAGACTTCATCCTTTAAAACAAAAACAAATTTTTTTTCAAATACGATCATTTTTTGCGGAGATGCGCTTCTTTGAATTTACGCGAAATTTTGATATTAATTACGTGTTGCGATAATTTTTTTGACCAGTTTACATAAATACATATATAAAGATTTTTTCAGAATATTATTATACCAAATATTATTATATATAATCAGAATATTATTATATCGAATTAAGATGATTTATAGAAACGTTAATTCATAACAGAGCATTAAATATTTTTTGTGCAACTGGCGCGCGAAAAGTCCTTTACGGTCGCCCTTTACGCACATGATGGGTTTTTAGAAAGGGCTCCCTTTCCATGCATCGGTCACACAAAATATCGTAGCCAACATGTGTGGGTCATAAATCGGCCGATCATGCGGATTGTCACACTCGGCTTCGCCTCGTGCGCCAAACTTGCGCACTCTCGGCCGATTTACGATCCCCCACACTTGTTAGCTAATATACTATAAAACTTAATACACAACAAAAATACCGACATAAAAGGCTGTAAGGGCTAAGTGCAGTAAATAAAGCGCGAAATATATGTATAATTATCATTAAATAAAAATAAATAATAAGTAATATTAAACAATAAATATTTTAAATCCTTCTCTCTCTTTAGCTTTTTTCACCCAAATATTAAATTGTACATTTATATAATATAATCTCATTTTAAAATATAATTTTAGCATATCTTACATAATAAATAAATAATTTCTATATTCTTTTCTAATTATCTTAATATAAAATATTTAAAAAAAATTACAAAGCATGTAAAGAAAAATAAAAATAGTAAAATTTTTGTGTAAAATAATTAGAGTAGAATATAGAGACAAGTTAATCGTGTTTAATATATGCACTCGCTTCTTATTAGTCATTTTCACATCCAATTTTGTATTTGTATATTAGAACTTTCTTAATTTATTATTATAATTTGTAGAAGAATTATTACTTACTAAATTTAACTGCTCAGGATCGTGACCGAGGTAATTAAATAATAAATTATTGACGCACAACTCCGCTTGATAAAAATTCAGGTTGCAGCCCATTAACGTCTTTAGAATGTTATAAACATTTTGCGGGAATATTTCGCCATGGAACAAAGCTCGCAATATTGGCTGGAATAAACAATCTTATTATTTCATGATGATAATTTACTTGTAAAATTTTCTCGTTCAATTTATTAATGTATTTTTAACATAAAAATAAAATTTTTTTCAGAATATTATTCTACGAATTACGATTATTTATAGAAGCGTTAATTCATAACAGAGCATTAAATATTTTTAAAACTTAATATACAACAAAAATACCGACATAAAAGGCTGTAAGGGCTAAGTGCAGTAAATAGAGCGCGATCTAATATATTGAAAATAATTTAATTCAAATTAATGTAAATATATATATAACTAGCGGACGTTTTAATCCCTTTTTGGATCATCTTCAACGCTTAAAATAAAAGTTATAACGCAAAAATATTTACATAGTTCACAATAATTCTAAAAAATCAACATATAATAAGAGAGGAATGGAGTGTAGATCGTGTTTATATAATAAGAGAGTACAACCGTCACGCATTATGATATCCGCATCAAATTCTCCATCATCGTACAAAGTACATATTGCGCATTTTGTCTCACGTCGTCGACAAAAGCAGCAACAACCCCGTCACTAGTACAAACGCATCTAAAACGAATGCAACCGTCCAGTTTGCAAGTTGGGAAGTATGCATCCCAAAGAGTATCAGCGCTATTAACAATAGAAACTCATGAATGACAATAATGCTCAAACACAAAAAATATAAGATGGAGTGAGAATCATACATACCAATGCTCGCAATGCAACAACACATAAAAGCAGGGATTGAAATCGATAATTAGTTTTTTTTTTTGAAGAAAAATCATGTCATGACTTTGATTTTTATTTTCCATTTTTTTAAATTATTTCTTGATTTTCATCAAAATACAACTTTTTTTCTTAATCAATCTCTTAAAAATCACACCGTGAGAGTTCTTTTTGAGAAAAAAAATCACTCAAAAATAAACGTTATTCTTTAAACAAAAAATATTCCTCTTAAAAATAAAATTCAGCCCGATAAATGACAATTAGTCATTTGGATTATTTCCAAATAAAATCTCACTCAAGTCTTATATTTACTGAAAACGTTGATTGTACAATCGATTTCAGAAAACACGAGAGAAATACTGAAGAAATGATGATTATAAAAGTTTTTTTATTTGAAAAATCTATTAAGAATAATGTAACTTCAACTCTACAAAGCATAATAAACATCAAATAATACATAGATTGGATCACAGCTATATTACTTAAAAGATGTAAAAAACTGTGAAGTCACTAGATAATTAAAAAATGGTAGTAATTTAATCGATCAACTCTGGCAAATAAGTGCTCTTTATTAAATATTCACAACGTTTCGACCATGGGTTTCGGCCCTTATCAAGTGCTATAATATATAATAATGACAATTATTAGAAAATTAAAAAAGTAATAATGTAACTATAATAAAACAATAAATATTTTCACACATTAATATGTAAACCTACCTAAAACACAACTTTTTAAAAATCTTAATTTTTTATCTTAAAATGTGACAAGATATAATACAATGATAATGTGAAACAATTAACTGTATTATTGTGTCGGTTTCCAGCTCTTTATATAGTCATTATTTTGATCAAACTAAACGACCTTTATTAGTTTTTCGTAAACAATATTTAGATTATCCGTGTCTTTTTGTAAATTGATTGTGTTGTCAAATTTTTTGATAAAAAACATCTCCGCGATTTCTCGTTTTCGTACATATTTCTCATGATGTAAAATTTCTGGAGCGGACCAATCAAAATCATGACCATTATCTAATTTATGATTACTGATGACTGAATAATTACTATTGTGTACCTTAATATTATTAAAATGTTCTTTTATACGTGTGCCTAATTGTCGTTTAGTCTGACCAATGTATGATGAGGAACAATTTGCGCAGTTAATTTTGTATACTACTCTTGTTTTTTCTTTTAAAAGTAAAGGATCTTTGACGCGTTTATTTAGTGTATTCAATTTTTTCGGTATACAATAAACGCTTTGCATGCTCATAGATTGTAATAATCTCGAAACATCTTCACTTAGTTCTTTGACGTTCGGTAATTTATGATGCGGTCAAATTTTTCACTAACTAAATTATCGTTGTCAACATTGCGATCGTCATTATTTTGTGTCTTAAGCAATTTTAGCCTGTTTTTTACAAACAAACAATAGTAATTATTCAATCATCAGTAATTATAAATTGGATAATGGTCATGATTTTGATTGGTCCGCTCCAGAAATTTTACATCATGAGAAATTAAACGAAAACGAGAAATCGCGGAGATGTTTTTTATCAAAAAATTTGACAACACAATCAATTTACAAAAAGACACGGATAATCTAAATATTGTTTACGAAAAACTAATAAAGGTCGTTTAGTTTGATCAAAATAATGACTATATAAAGAGCTGGAAACCGACACAATAATATAGTTAATTGTTTCACATTATCATTGTATTATATCTTGTCACATTTTAAGATAAAAAATTAAGGTTTTTTAAAAAAGTTGTGTTTTAGATAGATTTACATATTAATGTGTAAAAATATTTATTGTTTTATTATAGTTACATTATTACTTTTTAATTTTTTAATTTTCTAATAATTGTCATTATTATATATTATAGCGACTTCCGTTTCCGGTTGCGTGTGAGAAGGTTGAGGTGCTGTCAGTGTGTGTATTTGAGTGGAATATTAGAGGTGTGTGGAAGAGAAAGGGGGAGAGAGAGTGAGAGAGTGAGAAGCTGGAGGTGGCGAATGCAAGGGGAGTGCAGGCAAGTGGGGTGAGAAGGGAATAGAGCGGTTGAGAAGGAAGAGAAGTGATGCAGGTAGAGTGAGTTGGCAGTTTGGAAGATAGATCAGGGGGCACGAGGGAGAGAGGAAGGTAATAGGAAAGAGGAGTGCAGGTGTAAAAGGAGAGAGAGAGATAGGGGATAGGTGTAGGTGCGGGGAAAGTCTCTAGTGACAGAGGATCCAGTCGAGGATATATAGGGAAAGTCACTAGCAGAGGAGAAAGTAACTGAAATAGGGTATAGGGAAAGTCACTAGACATAGAGTAAAGGAGATATAGATGGAAAGAAAAGAAATAGAGGAGATAGAAAGATTGAAGAAGACGAAGACGGAGAAATGGGAGAGAAGAGGGAGCACAGGGACGGCAGAGGAGGTTTTGAAAAGGAAAAGGGAGGAATTAGAAGAAGTAGGGTTGAGAAAGGAGAGAGGAAGAGAAAAAGGGGATTGGGAGAGTGGGCGTTCAGAGAAGTCAAAAGTAAAAAGGTAATAAGGTCGCCGGAGGTTGAAAGGAGGGAAGAGGCAGGAGGGATAGGGGAGATATTGAAAGAGATGGGGAGGGAATGGACGGAATGGAAGGAGGGATAATTCAGGAGATGAGAGAGATAAGAGAGAAATTAGAGAAGATTAAGGAGAGAGTAAGAAGGCAGGAGGAGTTAAGGGAGGAGGTTAGGGGATTAAAAAAAGGAAATGGAGGAGATAGGAGAGGAGAAAAAGTGGGAGAGAGAAGGGGTAGGAATTATGGAAAGGATTAAGGAGAGGGAAGAAAATGGGAAGAATTCGAGATAGGAAAAAAGGGGAGACGAGAGAAGGGGGAGAAGGGAAAGGAGAGTGAGGAGATGGAAGATAGGATTAAGAGGATGGAATAGAAATGGGAGAGAAAGGCAAAGAGAAGAAAAGAGAAAGAAGTGATAATAAAGGCAATTAGAAGGAGAAGGGCGGGGGTGAAAAAAGGGAGGGTGGAGAAATTATTGAAAGAGATCGGGGTTTAGGGGGGCGGTAGAGGAAGTGAGGAGAATAGGGGAGGGGAGAAGGGACGGGACAAGTATAGCATTAGTAAGGGTGGGAAGATGGAGGTTAAAAGGGAGATAATGGCAAAAGAAAAGGAGGTGAGAGGAAGGGAGAGAGAGGATTGAAGAGGATCTAACGTGGAGAAAGACGGATGACTGTGGAGATTAGGGAGTTGGCGAAAGGGAAGAAAGAAGAGGGAAGGAGGGCATGGGTAAGGTATGGGAGAATTTGGATGAGAGGTAAATGGTGGAGATGGGACGAGGTGAAAGAGGTGAAAGAGGAGCTAAAGGAGGAAGGAGCAGGGGATGAGAGGAGGGAAAGAGGCGGAGAGAGGAGGGAATAGAAGGAAAGGGTTTTATGGAAACAATACAGGGGACGGGAAAGGAGAGGGAGGGAAAGAGTGGGGAAGGAAAGGGTGAAAAAGAGATAAGAGAGAGAGGAGGGAAGTGGGAGGTAAAGGGCAAAGGAGAAAAGGGAAGAAGGAAAGGAGAAGGATAAGGGGAGGAAGGATGGAAGGTGGCATTCTGGAATGTGGCGGGATTAAGAAATAAGGACGCGGACTTCTGGGAAGCGGTGGGAGAATGGGATGTAAGTTTTTTTTCTGGAGACATGGGTAGATGAAAAAGGGTGGGAGAGGAAAAAAGGAGGGAGGATGCCGGGAGGATATAAATGGGAGGTGCAATATGCGAGGAGGAAGAGTAAAAAGGAAGGGCTATGGGGGAATTATAGTGGGGGTGAGAAAAGGGGTAGGAATAGAAGGAAAGTGTAAGGCGGATAAAGAGGGAATGGTGGAGGTGGTGATAGGAAAAGGAGGGGAGAGATGGAGAGTGGTGGGAGTGTACATAAATGGGGAGATGGAGAAGAAGCTAGGGGAGATGGATGAATGGATGGAGGAGGAGGGAGACAGAGTAAGAACGATAATAGGGGGGGACTTTAATGCAAGAACGGGAAATTTAGGAGGAAGAGTGGAGATAGGAGAGGAGGAAGGAGAGGAAGGGAAGGGGGAGAAAATCAAGAGATACAAAAGTAAATGGGGAAGGGAGAAGGTTGGTGAAGAAGTGGAGGAAAAGGGATGGGCGATAATGAATGGAGGAATAGCAGGGGATGAGGAAGGGGGGTGGACATATATGGGGCCGAATGGGAAATCGGTAATAGATTACATAATAGGTAATGAGGAGGTAAGAGAGGAAATCAGGAAGTTAGAGATAGGTGAAAGGAT